TAGTAATAGTAATAGTAGTACTAGTACTAGTAGTAGTAATAGTAATAGTAATAGTAGTAGTAATAGCAATAGTAGCAGCAATAGTACTAACAGTACGGCAAGTAGGCTGAACAGACAACTTTCGCAGAAAAATAACTTTAACAAAACCATCGCAGAACTTTTGCCTTCGCGATTTAGCTATGCAGTTGTCGCTTCATGCACAAGGAGCTCCAGATCAACTACCATATAGCGAGAGAGAGAGAGAGAGAGAGAGAGAGAGAGAGCGAGAGAGAGACGGACTCTCTATTTTTGCTGCGGAGTCCATCAATTCTGTACTCGTTTCGCTCTCCGGAGTCCTTGGAAGTGCTCAGGATGCGTCGCACCGCTTCTTTGAAGAACGCGGTCTCTGTCTCGCCCAAGGTACACGAGTCTTCATGGCCCAACTCCCGGTGGCGCATGTGATTCTTTTCAATGAAGCTTTCAAGGTCGGGGCTGCCATGTTTCATGAGGTCTTTCTCGGCACACCACGCACCTGTGTCAGTGAAGTTTGCGGCAAGCTTTCGTGTCAGCGATCCGGACATCCTTCTCACGTCTCGTTCGCCACTGACCAAATCCGCCAGCACGAAGGCACCCTCATTGTCTTCACCAGGCAGGGAGAAGAGGCCTTTTTCGAAAGGAGGTGGTCGCGCTGGCAATCGCCCGCTGAGGCAAAAGACGCCCATGTAGTCTGCAGCAGAGAAAACTGTCGCTACAAAGGCGTCAGGGGTTCCAATTGAAGTGTAGCCCTCCATCACTTGCTCATGCCCGCGGTAGATGCCCTTCAAGCGGTTGGATTCTAAGAACTGCTGCGCAACATCCAGGCCAAACTTGAACAAGCCTTCTCCCCGTGGAGACGGTTCCCAGCCCTCGCCAGCATGAGGATCGGCCCAAACCGTGCTGATACCGACAGATCTAATACATCTGCTGAACTTACCCGCCTGCCCTGAACAGAATTTCACAAAGTCCGGGCTTAGGCCACCATGCATAGCCATGAACTGTCCAGGCACCACGGCCACATATGGCAGCGCCCTCACCACCGAGCTGATGTCAGTAGCTCTGATCTTGCCACCGAACTTGTAGTCGAGCTCCTCCTCAAGGGCATACTGATAAATTCCAACATTTAGATAAACTAGAGCCGAATATGCTACTGTGGAAATGTATACTGTTTACTCACCCCTTCTCCTGAAATCCGTAGCGCTCCCATAGACTTTCATCCTCGTGGTTGCCTTGCAAAAGAACCAAGCCGTGAGGACATCGCACCTTCAGGGCCAAACCAGGGTTCTATAAGAAGAAGCTCTGCTGTACTGTAGTGCGGACCTATACTGCCTCTGCTTTATGATTGTAAATTCTTTAGACGCAGTATACTGCAGCATAGCATATGTAATCAGGCAGAACATTATATGCCGAGTATGCCGAAAGTAGTCTGTTAATGCATAACTACTCATCAACCTATAGACAGTGGCACAGATCTGGTTGCTGCCTACGCATGTTCATGACATCATTGCAGCTCGGTAGTCTAAATTCACATTGAACTCCCTAGGGTTTTGCGGGTTTGAGGTCTAGGCAACCTCTGGCCTTGTAGGATAGAAGAAGCAGAAGCAATTCGGCTGCTCTTTCACCCCGATCCAAGTAATCGCCCAGGAAGATGTACTGCATGCGCGGATCACAGACGAGCAGTGATGATCCATCCAGGCTGCTGTAACCCTTCTCCTCGTATTTCTTCTTGATTTCCACCAAGTAAGCGATAAGGTTGAAGAGCTGGCCGTGAAGATCTCCGATGATGGCAACGTCTTTGACCTCGCTGGAGACCTCTCGGCTAAATCCGTGCCTGCGATACTCGGCAGCGACTTCTCCCGTCACGTGCTTCAGGAATTTCTTCACCCTAGGCCAAGGTACACCACCACCGCGCTTGCCAATGTACCAACCATCACGGAGCGGTCCCTTCTCGAGCCGCTCGATGAAGTCTGCGGCCACTTGTTGCGGGGTGTCCCGGAGTTCACATTGCGGTGGGCCGGGCCCACTCTGTCGGATGACCTGCTGCACAGCAGGTCTTGGGACAACACGACTATCATGGCATTCTTATAGTAGTACTACTAGTACTAGTACTGTTATTGTGCTATTTCAGTACTCTAGTATTTCTTATAGTCTAGAAGAGACAATCTAAACTAAAGAAACACAAAACTCTGCCTGGGCGTGCTCAGGCTTTCCGGAGTGGACCACTGTGCAATTCTCCTCGCAGCCTCGATCATAACGGCCGACCAAGGAACCTAGGTGCCCCAAGCATGATAGAATGTACCCAGAACACAAAATACTCTAGCCGAAGTTCCTGGAACACAACATACGACCTCGGGGAACCACAGAATGAATTTCAAAAGCGATACCGAAGAAACACCGAAGTGACAATCTTGGAATTGCCAACTGCCCCGCTTCTCATAGGCTTGCTCCGTGCACTTGGCCTGACAGCATTGGTGTTCGCAGAGGCCGTCCACCGGCAACTGCGGTTTACACTGCTGTTCTCCTTTCCCACTCTTCCGCGTGACTTGGATGGTCTTCGCCCCCTCAGAGGCGAAGATTGTGCAATTCTCCTCACAAAAGGCTTCTCCCGTCTTAGCATGGTATTGAGGCTCGTGCATCTTCACCACGCAATCACGCAGCTCGAATTTTCCCCCCAAGTCGCCTAGGAGATCAAAGCTTTGATTACCACACTTGGAAGAGCAACATTTTTGCCAACAGAAATTGCTGCTGTCTTTCTCCACCGCCTCATGGCGAAAAGCATTCGCGACCTGCGCCATGGGTAAAACGAAAAGCACCAAGGCCATCATGTCGGCCAGGGCGCTCGGGCTGGTTTTTAAGCAACATGTGACTTGGCTTGAGCCCAAAGCTTCTTCAAAAAGCCAGCTCTGAGCCTTCACGAATAGGACCTGCAATCGACTTTTCAACGGCTGAATTCCCCCGCAAACCGCATCCCTGCGCCTGATGACATGCCGTTGCAGGTGTTGTGCCGCATTCAGCCTGCATTCCTAGCTATTCTAGCTTGCCATGCCCCTCCTTAATGCTGCAAAGGAGAGAACGTAAGGCCTTCACGAGCTGCTGTGCACGCGGAACTTCTCTGAGCAGGGTCGTAGTCACCTTTTTCGCTCCTGAAGGGAGGCGAGCCGAAGGAAGCGAAAGGTGTTTCTGGAACCTTTCAAGAACAGCGAAAAGAGAGTCGATAGAGATTGGAGGACTCTTTTTTTCGTTACCCAGATAGTGTGTCAACAGTTTTGGGGGGAATGCAATATGATTTGAATTGAACCCCTTCGTGTAGATATCACTTCCGACACGAAGCCACGCGTGAACCTGCGAAAGCCTCGCAATAGCTGTGCCAAGCTGTGCCTTGCCAGCTGTGCGGTGCGGGCAGCCAGAATACCCCAGGCCTCAGTAAGCTCAAATTATACTATCATGGTATCCTGTGGTACCTATAGTCTCCATTGTAGTTCCTTTTTGGGGGTTACCTTTTCGGATCCTGAATATAGAACTGATAAAACCCAAAAAAAGGAACTACAATGGAGACTATAGGTGGGATAGACATCTCATAGTACAAGAAGACTCCTGGGTCTCATATCAAGGTGGCGAGACCTCAACGAGCTCTCACAATCTGCCAACATCATAGTTTTTAAATATGCTGTCTACTAATAGTACACTACTGTAGTATACACTTACAGTAATTATCGTATAATGCCACACTAGAACCGTATACTACAAGAGTATACTTTAACAATAACATACTACTATATGCCCCTTGCTTCACCAGACCCTTTGGGCCCTCCCGAGGATGGTACGGAAGGCATTGACTTCTTCTTGAAAGGCTGCCAACACATCACATGTCGTGACAGACTCGTCAAGAACTTATTAAGACTTGATGCTAGGATCCATAAATAGCGGACTCTTTTGGCAACAGCTTCGGCAAGTTTGAATGCAGTGATACCGAGTTTAGAAGGATTCCCTGCCATATCAGCGGCTTGAGTACCGACCAGCTCGAGCAGCTCCGAGGCACCCGCCGGAACCAATGGGGCAAAAGCCCCGCGATGGTATGTGAGATCTCTCTCTCTCTCTGTCTCTGTCTCTAGCTCGTTACACACTTACATACTTAACTAGTCAATACATACATATATATATGTATATGTATGTATGCATGCATGTATGCATGCATGCATCCATGTGTGTGTATGTCCGTATATATATATACACATAATGTATGTATGAAAAATGTTCAGCTCTGAGCACTTGGACACATGCAGTGGCCAGGAAGACAAGCCCCACGGAAGGCTTTTTGCATTAACTTCCAAGCGCCCTCTCGCCATTAGCGAGGAGGCCTCGCCCCAACTGTAAGACAACAGGCTGCCGCTTAGGCTGTAGGGTTTGAGGTTGAGGATCCCAGGCTTATGGTTCAGGTGTAGGGTTTCGGGTTTAGGGCTTGCGGCCTACGGTTTCGGTTGAGGGCCTCAAGCACGAACGTGTGCTATCTCCTGGAATTTGGGGCTGTCGCATCAATCAGGCGGTTTGAAGTTGGAAGCCTTTACTGCATGTTCTCCAGATGGTCATTCCAGGTTTAGGGCTGAGGGTTTTGGGGGTTCCGACTACCCCGCAAGCGCCATCAAAGGCTCATCTTGTCCTTTTGGAGACCTGCAGGGCACGGCAGGGTGTTATGTTTCTTTGTGTGCTGCTTTCTCGCTTTCATTTCATCGACGCTCTACTTCGAGCTTTTGGCTAGCTAGGTAGCTAGCTAGGTAGCCGTGTCGGCAAGTAAGACTTAAGGCAGCCAGGTAGAGAATTAATTAGACCTGCATACTATTCCGGTATACCTGCTACCCAGATCCCAAATCAAGGCCTGCAGACTCACAGTCGGCAGTCGCCATGGTCGCCGGCGGCGCGGCGGAACGCCCTACAGCGTGTTTGTGGGCGTGTCGGAGCAGGATTTTTGGGTCAAGGTCTCGAGAGAGCCTTTCGTGTGGGGAATATAGGGGCTTACCTACACTGTTCTTGGGGTTTCCGTATGACAACTAAAGTACAATTATAGTCAATTATAGTGCAACATACCCCAAAACCCGATCGCAGGGCAAGGTAGGCTTCCCGTCGTCGTTGCACCTTGTCCCTAGGAGCCCGCATCAGCCCTCTGGTACTGCACTGCTCAGTGCCGCCGTGAAGGCCGCGTGCCAAGCGAAGGGCACCGCAGCTGCTTATTAATTATGTCCACATCGGGGATATGTGAGATGGATGCTGACATTGCAGAGCCGTCGGAGTGCAAAGCCGTGACACAGACCAAGCGGAGGCCCGTGCCACAAGTGGACCCACAATTCCTAGCAGAAACGGAACGCGAACGTGAGAGACAAGCTCTTGGACATGTGACCCCAGTGTTTCCGCTACACATGGGGCCAAAGGACGCAAGCCTAAGGCGGACCATGGTCGGCAACCTGCAAGAAGAGGTCCGTACCAATTAATAATCGGAGTCACCAGGAATCGACAATGATTCTGTGCTGCTCGCTTTTGTGCGCGCCCACGGGCAAAAGCCCTGTGTGAAGGATGCTTCCGACCGCCTAATGGCCGCACCACCCCGAAACAGTCTAATTATCAAGGCCTCTATATTGCACAGTGAAGGGCGTAGGATTGGTCCCCTTTGTATCTGCGAGCTTGCTTGAGGATTGAAGTGGTTCGATGTTCATGGCGTCGATCAGCTCGCAGCTGCATCCCCCCCTAGGCCAAACTGCGAGGCAAACCTATCAAGAAGCCGAAACCCAAAGTGGTCTTGGGCTGATCGGGATTATGGGGCCCATCGCGTTTGCAGGATTTTCTCGGCGATTCGGGGACAGGCTTGCAGCAATCTGTTTAGGGTTTAGGGTTCAAGGCTTATCTGAACAATCAGGAACCCTGAATCAGGTAGGGATCTAAGGAGCCGAAGCATGCCGGGCCTTGCTGATCGTCTTCTGGCTTTTCGCAGTTCTCCTCTCAACTGGTATTTTTCTCTGCAAGAAGCCATAAACCCTAAACCCTAAACCCTCACCTCGTGCCAGTGGCAATCGCTGCACTGCATCAATCAAACACCGCGCGTTGTCAGGGAAACCTCTAAGCCCTACACCCAGAGTCCTAAATTCCGTAGATATTCTATACTATACATTATTTTACATTAGACATTATACAGTCTATGATATATTAAATTAAGCTAGTTAACAAAAATCTATTATCTTTATATACATATATGTATATATATATATGTATGTATAATATATATATATATGTGTGTGTATATATATACTTCTATATATTATATCACATTCAAGCCGGTCCTCTGGTTCCTTCGTGAGCAGACGGGGCCCGAAGCTTTGGATGAGGATAGCGCCGAGTGGCGCCGTAAGGAGGATGGCAAGGACCTGTGTCAGTCTAAGGAGCAGCAGCCAGTAGAAGCAGGCGACGACACTAGGTCGCCAAACAAAAGGAACTGCAGTTGACCGGCTAGTAGCACAATGGGTGTCCTTTCTCCTGCTGTGCTATTCGGTGGTCTACTGCGGTAATTACTATGTTACTATGAAAACCCTACAGCAAGGGGCACCGCCACGGCCAGCAACTTCTGACCCATCCTGGGCTGCAGTTCTTCGGAGACCCTCTGCTACGAAGGCATCCCGGGCTAGGGCGTAGGACCAGTGTAGGACCCAGCGCTTGTGAGATGGAGCGCTGCGGGGGTTTCTGGCTTGGACTTGCTGCCGTAGGCTTTGGGAGAAGGGCTTCGCACAGGGTCGCAACCCTGTCTCTTCCCTCTAAACCCTAAACCATCCACCTCTCTTCAGCTTCGAGACGCAGGTCTAAGGTCGAAGCTTCGCTGAAACTGCGTTCTTTGCATGGTCCTCATACGGGTAGTGCGTTAAATTAGGGTCCCTTTTTAGGGGCCTCTTTATAAGGGTGCCGGACTATGTTTGGACCCTAATTTAGAGAACTACCCATACTGCCGCCTGCATCCTAACATCGTTAGAGCACCCTAACCATTATGGCCGCTGCTGCCGTGGCCTCTGTGAGTTTTATGACTCTTCGTGTTCTTTTTCAACACTGTAACCACTGGATAGCCACGGCATGTGAGATGTAGACAACTGGGCCCAAAACCACAACCCCGACCACCTCGAAGAGCGCTTATGCAACCGAACTCTTCATTTGCGAAACTAAGTGTCGTCCTTTCTTCAGGCCTCGGTTCGGCGATGCTTGACGCAGCCCCTAACATGCTTGGGTTTAGGGTTCAGGGTTTAGGGTTTAGGGATTTTAGGTTTAGGATTTAGGGTTTAGGGCTCAGGATTTTCAAGGTTCAGGATTCAGGGTTGAGGGTTTGGGGGCTGCAGGGAAGAATTAGGGTTGGGGGTTAGGGCCTATGTACAAGCCTGAGGATGTAGGGTTAGGCTCGAAGCTTAGGGGAACCTCTAAATCCCAGAAAACCCTTCCGAACTTCGGGATCCTGAACCAAAGTCCGGGCAGGGTCCCATTCGGCCAAGAAGTTGGGTGCAGTGCACATACCTGGAACGCCAGTCCATGTTTCTGCATCCAGGGTCTGTAGATGGACGGGCGGACAGACCCACAAAGGGACGAAAGAAGGCAGAGCCGACGGAGGCACGGACGGAGGGACCGACCCGGCAAAGAGGACAAAGGGACGGACGTAGGGACTGACGGAAAGAATCTTGTACAACTTCCAAGTATAGACCTCATAACTCCCAGCCCTTTGATGTGAAGAAAAGCTGATCTGTAGCTAGAGTATCCCCACGCACACACCAGTTTCTACATTCACCAGCACTGCTGTAAGGAGCCCCATGTACGCTCACTGAAGCAGATACCGCCAACCTCCTGCTTACGAGCGACGTTCGGGCACGATCCAGGGCGACACCGCCTATGGCTGCCTGGACTGTGGCCTGTGAATGCTGAGCTAAGTACAGGGTTACCGGGCTGTGTCTGTTTCTAAATTGCCGGTTTTTTTCCACATACCTTAACATGCTGAAGCCGACTGCAAGCACATCGGGCCCTGTCATGGGGGTGGGGTTGGGCGGTTACTGTACCATGATGACTGCATACGTGATTACAATCCTTGTCATTAGTTATCGTGTTGAACTGATAACATCAGCCCCACTAGTGGCCACCACCATCATTACAAGCGACCAACACGAGCCTCATGCTGCTCCTCTTCATACGAATATCAAGACGACGATGATGCTCAGTTTCCTGCTACTTAGTGGCACCTTGGAGAGGGAGGCAATCATTAGAGGTCAGCGGCGGCTCAGACCTTCACCACCCCTGCAAATTGAAGATATCCTCTTACACGAGTTATTCCTGTCATGATTATGACCATTCTTATAAAGTATGCTTACTCTCATTGTTATGATTATTGTTCATTTTTAGGTCATTACCAAAAGCTTTCGATTCGGGGAGTCGCTGCCTTCGGCATCCAGGCCATAGCTGTGAAAAGCTTCTCCTCGCAGGTAGGAAGACAGCCCGAAGTCCAAGCGACCACGTACGATTATACTTTATTATTATTATTGCTATTATTATCATTATTAGTAATATTTTTGAGGTTATCATTCCTACTCTATTTTTATTTCTAGTAAAAATTACAGTTCCCCACTGATATGGTTCCTTTTTTCGAACATTTCACCCTTGACATGACATGCCGGCAAGGAGGTTTGTCTTGCGGTGCGGAGACGATGTCCGCCTCCTTGAAAACTCATGTCCTGCCTGAAAGACCGAACCAGAGGACTCCCTGCAGCCCTCATTGCAATGCCAGCAGGTTTCAGAGTAGCAACTGGCGAGGCGATGCTCTTTAGGGGGTTTGTGGGATTCTACTTTCCTTGACTGCGACTGACTTGAAACATCTTGAAACATCACCGCGATATTCCGAACCTTACGTTCGTACGCGCATACGCACACATGTATTCACATATGTCTCATGCACGAGACCTTGCGTTCGCAAACAAGCACACGGAGCCAGGGCAAAAGAGAGAGAGAGAGAGAGACAGAGAGAGCGAGCGAGCTAGAGAGAGAGAGAGAGAGAGA